ATAAACTGTCAAGCGTTATTTTGTTCTTTTTTTGTATCTATGGAATTTTTTCTTTTTTCTTTCCCACCTTTAAAAAAAAAAAAAAAAATAAAGAATACGAATAAGAATGATAAGTAAAAAATAAAAAAGAAAGAAATGTATAATGAAACGCGACAATTTGTGGCTGCACGTGTGCGTGTGATATCGTTCATGTGTATAATATTGTATATGTATACACATGTACAAATAGTTTGATTGTATAGCCAATTGTGAGATTTAATATGAGACAAAAAAAATGTAATGAAAGAATTAAGATATATATGTCCTGATTTATAGTTTTTCTTTTTATTCGACATTTTCACATTATTACGTTGTTGAACGTTTGATCGAATAAGATCATTCGTTCGAGCTTTATGATTATTATTTCATGTAATTTGATTTAAAAGATTGTACGAAGAGATAGCGTATAGATCTGAAGGTAATGATGTCATGTGATTGAGAACATCAGTTTGAAAGAATTCGCTAGGGTTATTTTCCATTGGAAAAAAAGAAGAGATTGGTCCAGATAATACTACTACTACTACTACTACTGGTGGTGATGGGCCCATTGTGAAATTCTTGATTGAACAGCAATTCGCGAGACTACGGACTACTAATGTGCACACCGGTTCTTCATGCTGACTGATTTTCTGCTGCTGATTCTGCTGCTGATTCCTATAACTCTCCAGAATCTTCTTCTTCTTGCTGTTGTCTGAAAAACACTTGGGAAGCAAGTTAAGAAGCTCCCGGGACTGTGTAAGATGATGATGTCAATGTCTTCACGAGAGGAGGATTCCTTTCTTTTTAGTGCTACACACGTTGAAGATGAAAATCCCTGCCTACCCATGGGATCTAAGTTTCGCGACTTATGTTAGAAACTAGTAGTAGAGGAGACACCGGAGTTGTCGTCGAATCAACTTGCCAACTTGGTGAGAGGGAATCGTTCGAAGCAGGACACCACGATTTTCTTCCAACTACTTCGTTCATTCTTTTGCTTTAACAATACCGTCTCGATGACATGAACGTGTGAAGAAAGATTAAAAAAGTAAAGCAGACCACGAACGATCTTTCAATCTCCCCGTTTGAAGATTTTCTAACGTGTGTCTTCGTTATACGTGGATAGGAAAGATAGAAGGAATCTATTTTTATTATTTTTTTTTTTTTTTTTAAATTAATGTGGCATGGGGCCTGCGTTAACCCGCATGAACCCCACACGCACTATCAAAAATTAAACGCACAAATACTCGCTTTAGGAGTACTTACAGGCTTCAGCAATTAGCCTCAGTCCTGGGGGAACCACCTCGTTGATCATGGTATCCCCTGCGCCAGGTTAGTATGACCATTACAACCTTCCTATCTATTTATATATTTCTAAATATTATTTTACTTCTGAGAAATAAATTATCGTCAACGCCACCTTTTGATTGATTTTAATAAATACAATTTCTCATAGTGTTTTTTTGTTTTTTTTTTCATAAGGTGTAACCAATATTTTTCATTTTGATTTGTATTATTTCCTATGTGTCGTTCACATTCTTTAAAAAGTATTCAATATTGGTATTCACTTTTCTTGTTCATTTTGTCTATATGTAGAATATTTTATTCTTGAAACATAATCATGATACTTCAGTTACTAGGTAACTTTCTGAGTTTGTTCGTTCGATAGAAGCTATAAAAAATATCGAATAAAAGACGGTAATTTAACACGGTTAGTTTCTAAAAACTCGGAGGATACCAATCAAGAGAGTATGTAATTCAAGACATAAACTCGCTGAAAACAAGCTACTCTCTCTCTATCTCTTTCTCTCTCTTTACTCGAACGAGACATCGAAACAACAACCGTAAATCTCTATGGTAACCTCAGTTTAGGAAAGGAAGGAAAACAAGTAGAACAAGAAGAAAGTGAAGTTTAGTTAGGTTTGGTTTGGTTTCGGTAGAAAGGGCTAGGATCGTTTCAGCTTTTCAATGGTTATTGCAAGACCGATATTTACTCGGTCCCTTGAAATCCCCAAAAATGAGTCTCCTACCTTTACCAAAGGTTCAATGTGTTCAAACTAAACGTAGAAAATATCCACAATCGTTTACTGGAACTGCCAACATTTCTTACGGATACAGATTACGCGATCGTGGTGAATGTAAAATTATGAAGGAACGTGAATCAATCTTTGACAAATTAGCCGAAACAGATGCCAGGGAGAAAAGAGAATATGAAAATTTTATAAAGTCATGGGAATTTGAAAAAGAAACCAACAGGAAGATCAGGATCAAAGATATTCGAGATCGTGTCGAACAAGGTTAGTTCATTTTTGCATTATCATCAACAAGGGACTCCAATTTTTTTTTTTTTTTTTTTTATTAATATTCTTAATATATTTAATAAATATTACATCCCTTTTTTAAATTGATTTTTAATTACCGTTAACTCTCATCTCTTTTTTGTTTACTTAATTTTATTATCTTTGTATTATTTTCTAATTAACCTTACAACGATGTGGAAATATTTGCATATAAAAAAAAAAAAATATAAAATTTCAAACAATCTCTCCCTTCCTCCCTAAAAAAGAAAAAAAAAATTATTTCAAAATATTCCAAGGTAAAATAGTATCGTAAGTATAAAATTAGAAATAAAAATTCTTTCGTGAAAGCTGACCGGTAGATTAACACGTAGGAGTACAATGGGGGTAACATCGTCCTCATCCTCGTCCTCATCCTCATCCTCCTTCCTCGTCGTCGTCGTCGTCGTCCGGAGTATAAATGACAAAAAAGTTGGCGTGATTCATTCTTGCGAGTCAACGTGTAACACTACACACGCGGTGTTGAACGAAAAGGGAAGGACGAAAATCGAGCCCTGGCTACGATGCATCGTACTTTAGGAAGAAAAAGAGAGAGTGAGAAAAGGGAGTGAAAGAAAGACAGAGAGAGAGAAAGAAAGATCCTTAAAAAAGACGCGTGAGTAAAGCCGGCAGGATGACCCCTTTCATCCTGGCCGCTCCGCTTATTATGGATTTCGCGGACCCCGGTAGCACCTTTTGTTAACTCGTCCTAGCACCGACGTGATGTCGATAAAAAAATTTAAATAAAATCGATGATGGTCCGTTCACCATGCGTTCACACTCGCTCATATTCGTTCTTGCATATAACCACGCGCATACACACACACACATATATATACATACACAGGTACACGTAAACCTCATAGATTGTATATCGTGTGTAATATTATCACGTGAAAATTAAACGCGTGCTCGCGATGTTTATCGTTTCATCCTCTTTCTATATCCTTTTAAAATACCATACATGAATACCCATCACCATTACCATCACCATCACCACCCTCGTTGTACGTGTATGCGTATGCGTATACATATGCGCGTTTGTTATTGTGAGTTGAATAAACGTATGCACGCACATGTGTCTCTCCCCCTTCACATAGTTTCATCACGGTAACCATAACGAAGTTTATAACAGGCCGCCGCCACGTTGCATCGATTATGACCCGAAACGAGAATCGGTAAAAACGAGAGGAACGTTTCTGTTTTTCCTACGATATCACGAATTCCGATAATTTAATAGGAAAAACCATGTAGAGAGAAAGAGAGAGAGAGAGAGGCGTACCATCAATGGGTTCTACCTATGGACACTGTTCAACCACGATTATTTTAACGAAAATTCGATTCTAATTCTCATATCATCGAGAAACTTGCAACTCGCGAGGATAATCTTTCTTGCTGCATTTTGTTTTTTTTTTTGGTTTATATGGTTTTTTTTCTTTTTATAATTCTTTGTCACGCTCCCAGTTTGTTTTATTTCGTATTCTATGTTTTTTTTTATTCCCTTCCTTTCTTTTTTCTCCTCCGTACCCCTTTTTCTTTTTTTCTTTTTTATTACTTTCTATTTTTCGCTAACTGCTTTTTGCCCAAACTTTCGAAAACAGCTTTAACCCAGTTTTACGTATTTTGTTTACATTTCTTTTTTTTTTTTTTCGTTATTTTATTTATGCATTTTTATTTTCTTTTCCTTTTTTGTTGTTGCATTTTTTGTAATAACGTTCCAAGAGTGATTCAATAATCGTTCGGTTCAACGAATTTGTACGAAATTTTACTTTCCTTGCGTGGGAAATAGTTTTTTTCTTTCTTTTTTTCGAATATTTATTTTTATCTTTTTTTTTTTTTTTGAATTTTATTATACATTGAAAAAGAATAAAAAAAAAAGACGAAAGATAGAAAGAGAATCAAAAGCATGTGGTGGTAACGCTTAAAACAGCTTCGAATATTGGCGTGAATAATAATCGCACTATTTGTCATCCTGTTTCGCATTTATAACGATCGTATTTATCTCGAGTGAAAGAGAGATAGAAAGATAGATAGATAGATAGATAGATAGATAGATAGATAGATAGACATATAGATACAGAAACAGATACCCGAAGGAATCATCGATAATTCTTTTTCATTAATTCATTTTGGATCCGTTTTGGAATATTGTTAAAGGTGATTACTAAATTCCAACGCGTTTATTTTTCAATGGTTGTTTGAAAATGAATTTCGATCGTCTCCATCATATTTTCAATCGAGCCCAACCTCGTCGATAAATATCGATTGGATTAGCTAATTATTTGTATACGTAAATATGTGCTCATACATACATATCTATATACATAGATTACTCTTTATAAACGAGGGGTGAGTTAGGTATGGGTGAAAAAGTGGGAGGTATTGGTTGTTTCCCGGGCGTGAAATCGGTCGTATAAACAAAAAAAAAATTTTTTTCTACGTTGATAGGGAAAAACATTGGGAGAGCTAGTGTTGAATAAAAAAAAAAAAAAGAAAAAAAAAGAAACAAAGAAGGGATTTTAAAACGAGCACGTACCTGGAAAAACAGACCGTTCGGGTAGGGGGTTGATGATTCCCTTTTTCACTCCGTTCTTTGTTGTGAGAAACGAGAGATTCCGAAAAAAAGAAGAATACAAAATGAAAAAGAAAGAAAAGGGTTGAGGTTTAGTGTGAGGTTGGAGATAGGGTGGGGGTAGAATACGTAAACGATACGTTTGGAAAAAGATATATGTATGTGTGTGTACGTACGTGTGAATGTGTTTGTTTGTGTATAGTCGATTGACTACTCTTTTGCATGGGGAATTGTCGACGACTGTGCAAACATTGATAATTACACCGGCAATTAATTCGGGCTGCGGTTGATTCGAATTTACAGGAATGGCAGAATACGAGGAGAGCATTAACGTGCGAAGGGATAAACTAAGGGATTTGATATTGAAAGAGGAGATGGAATTGACGCGGGAAATTATTGAGCAAGCCCAACACGGCAATGATTTTCGTATGGAGGAAATGAGGGAGGAAACTGAACGACTTAGGAGACAACAGGAGGAAGAACGTTTAGCGTTATTGGCTACCAAACGTATGCAACAATACATCGAACGTCATTCGGAATTGAGAACACAATTGACCAAAAGATTTACGAAAGAAGCTAAGAGTTGTAACTTGGTGCAAATGGCGGAAAACGAAGCTAAGAGACGTGCTGAGAACGAATTGGAAGAACTTTGGCACGAATTGATGTTGAGGGAGATCAAGGCTAAAGAGGACAGAGAAATTGAGGAAGCTAAAAAACGTTTTCATCAGCAACAGGACGCTTTGACGACATTGGCCAAACAGGTGGCAGGTAAATTGGCTTTGGAGGAGGAAGAAAAACGAGTAAGGAAAGAGGAGAGAGAATATTTGGAACAATTATGGGAGAACGTTAGGAAAGAAGAAACGAAAAAATTGGAAACTGAGAGAAAGAAACGAGAAGCATTGAAAAAAGAATTGGAGGAACAGGCTAGCAGAGCTAAAAGGATATTAATAGAACGTGCTAAAGAAGAAGCTAAGATAGACGAGACCTTGAACGATCTAGCGAAAGAGGAATTGGAACGAGAGAAACAAGCCGTGAAGGAAAGTTCGATAGCACTGAGGCAAGAATTACTAGCTTATCTGAAGTATCTCGAAGAGTTGCGTGAAGAGGAGGCTAAGAGAAATTTAGAAGTGGATAAGATAATCGAGGAATCGATGAAGGACGCAAATGCTAGAAGAGACCTTGCTGTTAAGAGATTCAAGGAGATGAGAGAACGAAATTTGCGCGAGGTCCTTTTAGGTAGGGAAGAACAATTGAGATTGAAGAAGGAATCAATGGAAAGAGAGAAACGTTCTATCGAAAATGAGAAAATTCTTCTTGAAAAAGAAATAGAAACTAATGCCAAATTGTCAGCTATCATGAAAGAAGAAGAGAGAAAGAAAATGATTTGTTATGGTAAAGATTTGAAGGAACAACAAAAATATTACGAAATCGTTCGTGCTAGGGAACGTGAAGAGGATGAAAAAATTTATCAAGATGGTTTGAAACGTGAGGAGGAGTATCAAAAGTTAAACGAAGTATTGTTAAAAGCAACGGAAAACATCGCAAGGCCGCATCCTTTCAACCTACTCCTCAAGGAATACGAAACTCGTCATCGTTGTCAACTTGTTCTTGAGAAACCAGAAGAAGTCCTCAGTTATTGCCCTCCTTCTTTACCACCACCTATTCAAACTCTCCCACCATCCTCGACTAAGTAATTTTTCTAACGATCCACCTTCTTCTTCCTCATCCTCCAACCATCCCAGCCCACCTTCTTGGCCTGCTTTTGCACTTTTATGATCCCCCAACCCTCCCCTCCCCTTCACTCTTTTCTTCTTGTTTACCAGTTTCTTCCGTGAACTGTTGTACAATGTCCCCTGTTCTCTATGTTTCTTTATGTATTACGCGTCTATGTAACACACCAACGAATTACTCGATAAAACGATATAATTTTAGTCTTCTATTATACTTAACCTGTTGTTGTTGTTGTTGTTGTTGTTGTTGTTGTCGTGTCTTTCCTACGATTCCTAGGAGTCTTTTATCCACTTTGTATCTTTTATAGCACGAAAAGTGAGCTACTTCTAACGAGGGATAATACGTCTACCTGATCCCGTACTGGGAATTTATATTTTTCTTCTTTACCTTGTTTCTTCTTTTTTTCTTCTTTTTCTAGAAAAAAAAAAAAATAAAAAAATAAAGATAAAAAATAAATCGACGGAGAAGATTCTTCTTCTCTGTTTATTTTTGTTTTTCATCATTTTTAAATAACAAATTTTCGCGATTCGGTGGGAGAGAATCCTCTCACGCGAAAAAAAGAAAAATAACAAAAAGAGAGAGTATCGAGTAAATTCGAACGTTCCGTAGCCATGTATATCGATATCTCGTATAATTTATACTGTATTCGATATTTGCATAAAAATTTCATTTAAAAGAAAAAAAGACAAAAAGAGAAAACAACAATAAAAAAAAGTGCGCCGAACTTTTTGGACAAAATTTGTGCTATAGTACGAGCACACCACACGTTTCAAATGTCATCGATATAAATATTAGCGAAAAATTTTGGTTCGGGTTGGAGAGGTAGAGGGAAAAGAGGGATGTTGAGGTAAAACGTCGGTTTCCAGAAAATTTCCGAACGATTACACATTTCCAATGTTTTTTCCTCCTCCCTCGTAGCAAGAAAAAATTTTAAAAAATTAAAAAAAAATAAATATAGATATATATATATATATACAATTAAACAGAGGGTGAATGAGTGGTGGTAGTATTTACATACTCGTGTTATTTTGTACATCATAATATAACATTTTCGGTTTGTTCACTGATCGAACGCAGTTAATGCATTATTCAGCGACAAGGATAAAAATTTGCGATCTAGGGTCGGCATCAAACCGGTTTGTTGTCAGTCAACGTTGTCTTTCTTTCTTCTTCTTGTTGTTGTTGTTCTTCTTCTTCTTCTTTCTTCACCTCATAGTTGTCATCGTTGTCGTCGTTGGTTGTTGGTTGCTGTTGTTGGATGAACTGAAAGAATCAAGGATATATCTTGTGAAACAACCTGTACCTTTGTGAATTCTCTCTTGCCCAAGATGCATCTTTGTTACACAGGAATAGAAAGGGTGTAAAAAGAAAAGTACTTTCGTATAATCGAACAGGTCCTACCATCTGTTAGCCGAATGAAGAACCATTCTCAACCACTCGAACGTGTTCTTACTTATCGACCAAGTGCAATTTTTTATTTAAACAAAAATTTTATTTTTATTTATTTCAATTTTACGTCATTAGTAATCGGTAATTAAATGATTTGCAGGATATATTTGTAATTGTATAAAAATTAATATATATATATAAATTAATTTTATTTTTAATCGACTATATTTTATACTTTTGTTTTTTTTTTTATCGTTTTAAAATTTGTCAAACAAACTGTTAAATAATAGTAATAGCAATTAATATTTTTAATGTAGTTTTTCAGTTTGAAATATCATAATGGAATATTGTTCGTTAGTTTTGATTGGTTTCGATTATAATCAAAATTTTGTTTCACGCGGTTTGAACATTTTTGTGAAAAATATAAATCGAAAAAAAAAAAGACAAAATAAAATAGAAATAAAAAATCTCTGGTTCTTTTTGTTTTAGTCTTCTTTTTTTTTCTTTTTTTTTAATTTCATACGATTGAAAGTTTTATTTTGGGGTAGCTATTAAACATTTCTAAAGTTAACAACGTTTAATCTCCATCAGTGAAAATATCGCAGAATTTCATTTCATTTCGCAAAACGTAACACGATATTTATGAGATTTGGTTCGTTGATATTAACGGGCCAATATCTTCCTTCTCGCATATACGGTTCGTATGTATGCATCGTTTAACTTTCTTTATTAACGCGATACGTCGTGTTCGTTAAAACAACGAACCCCACCATTTTATTGAGTTTCGCTTGGTAGGAATATGAACGACAGGAACGTATACTTCGTCGTAATAATTGTTTGCTCTTATTAGTTGGCATCGAATGGAAACGTCGAATTTCAAACTGATCGCTAATGACGCCATATTATTCTCACACCTCACACATGTCACAAACACCACACACCCCTTCTATAATACTTTTTTATTTATTTATTCATTTAACTGAGAATCGATAGATTGAAACTCGCAAAATGATTTCATTATTTTGTTAATTATTTCTTTTACGTCGAACAAAGAGTCACACGTTTGACTCCATCTTTTCTTTCTTGTTGTTTTTTTTTTTTATATTTTATTTTCATTAAATATACATTTTACTTAATTAATTTAATAGAATAAAATTCTGTTGTGAAATATGTCAAATGTTTAATATATAACAATGTTTGCTTTTGATTGAATGAAAAATTAAAAGAATCATTTTATCATTAATACACGATTTAAATTTATCAAATAAAAATTTAAATATATACTTATAAAAAAATTTCAAACGATTTTTTATATATAAATATTTTCCATCTTGAAGCTTTAAGATAAAATTCAATTTATCATTCAAAAGATGAGCCATCAAACTCGTAATGATGAACCCTTTTTTGGTATACCCTACTAATCTGGGTTAAATTTGATCGAGTTTTTTTTTTCTTGGTTGTTCCTCTAAACGGAGAAAACTTAATCCTAAAGAAGAACTGTCCTGATATTTTCTTGAAAATCTTATTAAGAGAAAATGTTCCATGCTAGTTCCTTCAATCGTTGTTGGAATTTCTTTGAAAGAAGAAGAAGAAGAAGAAGATGAAGAAGAAGATGAAGAAAAACAACAACGGTACTTGCATATTGCACATGCTTCCTAATTATACATAGGTCGTAGAATATCTGTACGCATTTGGATAATATACAAGACTACCCCAACGATATTTGGTAAGTACATTCAAAACATTTACTTAATTAAATTAACTTACTAATTCGGTGCCATTATCGTGTATGGCCGACTTTAGTTATGAAACTGAGAGATCAACTTTATTTCTTTCCGATACAAGCACGAAAATTCAACTCGACTTAATTAACATAACGTAACAATGAACGAATGTAACAAAAACAAAAATATATATATATATAATAATAATAATAATAATAAATAGAAAATATCAGAAATATCTGATAATCCTAATTAAATACGATCGAATAATTTTATTCGTAAATCTGTTACATTCAACAAATACTTAAAGCTTGTTAAAATGCATAAATTTATTATTACGCTAGAAATATCTTTAATCCTTTCTCATTACCACGAAAACTAAAGTTGGTAATTGGAAGAAACCTGATTACGAAGTATTATATTATAGTTACGAGAGAACGAGAATAGTTTATTACATTTCTATCATACAAACCATCCTTTAACTAGATAAAGAACATTAAACAATTACAAAAAAAAAAAAAATAATAATAAGTATATTTAAGAATCATATTACGAAAATGAACCTTTTACACTAAAGAGGTTATATTCCCAGTTACCGTTTAATACGATAATTCGAGTAACAATGATGTTTAATTAGGTTTTACTTTAGCAATACAATTTTCATGAATATCTTCAACAATACACTGTCTGTAATACAACTGTCATTAAAGATATGTTTAATCTTAAACACTGTCATTTACGCGCATATTCAACGTCATATAGTGTTCAACATTTACTCACATGAAATAAATAAATAATCAAAATCGTTAAATAATGCTTGAAAAATCATCAATTAAATTAATGAATTATCAATAATCCTATAAAATCGAATTCAGTAAACTTATTATTACGGTAGAAATATCGTTAATCGTTTCTCATTACAGTGAGAAATTCAAGTTGGCAACCACAAGACATCAGATTACCTAGGAGGTACTCGAGCTTTCTCTGGAAATGCATCCCACGCTCGGATGCACGATTTTACCCTCTTCCTCCCTTTTAGAGTACAGACACGCACTCACAGAGAGCAAGCAAGCAAGCAAGCAAGCAAGCAGCAAGCAAGTAAGCAAGCAGACAAGTAAGCAGGCAGGCAGGCAGGCAAGCAAGGAAGCAAGCAAGCAGACAAGTAGACTTCCAAAGGGGGTGGTTAAGAGGGGGGTTAGAGGGTAGTTAGGGAGAAGAGGGTTGGGGAGCATCAACCCTCTCGTGCGAACTCGTCGATCATCGTGCATACGGGCGGCACCGCCCCCATACACATATATATATAKATAGATATGTATATATTAAATTATCTATCTTTGATACGTATCTCTAACTGTCGATATTCGGCTATTTAATGTTTAGAACGTCATATGGTCAAATATACGCAATATCGTATACTAACACGATTTCTATTTAATATTGAGCGATAATTTATTATTAGTTGTTACTACGTATCCATTGATTTTATCTAATTAATATAAATATATATATATATATATACATACATGTTACATAATTACAATACTAGGAGTTCAAATTAAAAATAAGAAAAAAATTTTTTACCTTATATTATTATTAATATATCGTTATGGAACGATTGTTATATAAAATTTTGAATTTGTTCTAACGAATAGACATCGTCGTTCATTAACGATAAATCTGTCGATTTGATTTGTTTAAATTTGATTTCGGTTATTCCATTCGTTATTGCTATAACGTGAGATTTAACAATGGGGTAGGAAAGAAATGTAAAAGGAGATAGAAATATAGAGAAAGATCACGTATTTTCACAGAATTTATCTCGATCCCCATTTATATGACTGGAAGGGGGATGAAGGAAATAAGGTATATATGTATATGTATGTATGTTGCTATCTCTCAACAAC